GCTAGTAATATATTTAGCATATTTTTGCCTTTTTTTTGCCACTGAATATAAAATTTTGTCCTGAATTTACTAAACCTTCTACACCCTGAGGAATAACAGATTAATAAAAGAAATGTCAGGGTTAGCTTTGTGGACCATATTATCATCCAAAAAGCACAACCTATGAAGAGCTAATATTCTTGGAAGCACAAAGTTTCATCTGCAGACTAAGCTACTGCTATTTTTTTTAGCAAAGAGTTTGGTTTTAAGTGTTAACATGGCCTAACGAGAATACAGATGTCCAAGTTGAGAGCCAGAGGCACCCCCTGCAACACACACACACACACACAAACACACACACACACACAACCAGATCTACTACAATGGTTTTCTGTCTCCACTATGAACTACGACATATTGCTGCCGTTTAGGAATGTATTACTCAACAGTCCTCTGAAAAGCACTTTGGAATCTTTAGCTGTATATTTTTATGAAATTACAATTACAAGTTATTTGCTATCTTGAAACAGGGACTTTCTGTCCCTCCCTTCTCCATAACCCAAATATATAACATGCCACATTTTAAGTTTCATCTCAATATTTACTTCTTTTCCTCCAAAATGGAATTTGGGAGGGAATTCTTAAAAGTCCCTAAAGTGAGGCAAAGGATTCATTTAGAACAATCATTGGGCCTTTCTTGTAGGGCACAGTGCCACTGTTTCCCTTGACCTTGGGCTGCCCAGGCTTCAGGCTCATCTTCAATTATACACATGCTCTCCTCTAAAATACAATGCCTCCAACCCCCAAAAAGTTAGTTGCTGCAGGGAAAGAACGAATTCTTCTTGGTAGGGTGCTTAAAAATGCTAAGAAATACAAACCAAAGCATCCTATCTGCTCATATCAGTATCTCATGAAAGGATACAAACTCCATGGGACCATGCCTAGCAACTGGAATCAATACAATGAATTACAATCAACTCTTTGATAAAACTTCCATCCTTTGTTTTCTACCTAAACATTAAATATGATCTTGTTCCCTCTAGAAAGAAGAAAGGCACTCAAATTAACACAGTATGTTTAATTATTTTTTAAAAGACACTGTGTGACAAGTAGAATTTTCAGGGTTGACTTTTTTCCTGCCCACTGCCTTCCTGCCACTGAATTTGTCTCTGCCTTCCTGTGACTCCACGTACACCTCCATTCAACAGGAGTACACCGGAGTATGTGTAGGCATAGGGAGGCGGCAGCGCACCAAGTACCAGGGTCAGCACGGTTCTGTTTGAGACATTTGTTCAGAAGACACATGTTGTTAATGCTGTTCACATTTTCTAGATTTTAAATACTTTAAAGTTCTAAAATATAATTTTCTAGTAACAAAATAACTGTAAGCTTACAAAAACTTTCTGCAAAAAAAAGAGAATATATGTTACTTCCTTTTTTAACTAAATCTTTAGTATCTTCTATAATTAAGAGGGACCAAAAGATTACACTGTTGTGCAGTTAAGAGGCAGTGGTACTCCTAAATTATATTTAGCCTATGCCAGATACCATCTTGTGCTACAGAAAATTACGACTGTTAATTTGTTCTCAACAGTATTAAAAGTTCTCTTTATATAATAAGCATGAATTGACATGACCTGACTACGTGGAAATCACACAGTCTACCACCATATACGCTCTCCTACAAACTGCCACAGAAAAGTCCAGGAACTCTTGTTTTCCTATCTTGTGTCACATAAGCCCTCACCTGAAGATTTAAATGGCTTTGAGTGACAACCTGTATGGATTTAATCCTATTAACAATGAAGTCCTTAATTTAATTAGAACCGTACCACAGGAATAAGGGATGTGACTGAGAGTCTGGGCCCGGGGTTTCCAAAGAGGTAACAGAACGCTAAAACCTAGTAAAGAAAAAGGGGACATTAATAGGTAACTAATCCTTAAATTTAAAAAAAAAAATGACTCACGCAGGTTTAAGAAATACCTAAAAAGGTCCACAGTTCAAGCTGGGGAGTAGAAAAGGAGAAGCATAAAATGACTATCCAGGCACAAATACAGATCAAAAAGTCTTTGAAATCAAAGAATGTCTTCAAATGCCCCAGTGTTTCTGGCTCTGTTGGCAAGATCTGTCCTCTAATATCATAAATGAATGAAAGTAGTGTTCTTAATGCAAACGAGCTTTGTTCTATGAATTTTTAATATATATTTAAAGTACAGTTAATTCATAATTATAGAGCTGCATTTCTGGGCTGGTATTTAACGAGTTTAATAAACAAGGTATTTAAATGAAGAAAAAAATCTAAATTAACTTACTGTTTATGTAATAGCTCACCGGAAGTATCACGAATCTAGAATACATCATTCATTCACAATCCATAGTTCTAATCCATTAATTTCTCAGTCATAACTCATTCTGTCCATTACTCATGATCAATCTTTCCCTTCTTCAAACAGATAATCATTTATTAATTTGATAAATATTTAATGAGTCCTCACAATGTGCAAGGCACACAGTATAATGTGGGAACACCATATTACCAAAACAGGTAAACTTAAAAAAGGTGCGGTGGGGGAAGAAGGTGGTGGCGGAGGTATTTACAGATCTTATTGCTTTTGGCTTGTCAGTAGTATTCTTGATCCACAGGACAGTACAATGGCCTACTATTCTTCCAACGGAAAGTTTGATGAAATGTGTGTCAATCTAAACTATCTTTTTGACAATGACATATTTATAGAAAAAAAAAGATTAACACGTCCCTGAAAATAGACACACCTTTCCACTGCATGAACTCATTCAGTCAAAGAGATATTATCACACCACAGCTAATGAGTGTAGATGTCAACCATCTAGGAAAAAACACAACCATACAGGGCAATACTAGGTTTTTCTGTGAATGAACACTTGAAAAATGCAAATTTTAGAAGTAAAGTAGCACACAAAAGTCACAAACAGTAAATATCCTTTAGATATTTGTATTTTTACTCCCTACTCAAAACTTTATTAGGGGAAGACAAGAGACCAAGATATCTTATAGGACTGCATGGCTTCTTAAAGGGGTGGATTAAGGGCCTTAACACACATGAAGACAGATAACATCAAAGGTGGAGGCTCTAAAAAGGCGTGGAGCACTATCAAATTGAGCTGATGTTTCACAGGGTATTGTCTATGCTCCTGTCCTGTCACTCTCACATCAAAGCATAAGAAGCCCTATACCTGGGATACTTAGAATGATGTGTGGGAAAAAGGTAATACTGAGTGAGGCCAGGATTTGGCAACATGTATTTAGTGGAATGGGCTGACTCTCTCATGTCCTCTCTGTGTAGTTTCCCCACCATCCCCTACAGGTGCTGAAAATCACAAACTAATGGTTTTATCCATAGAGGTCTAGGTAGACCTTGAGGTATTTGATTCAAAATACGCTTTGTACACAAAGGGCCATGGAATTATGTTCATAATGACAATTGTTTTCTTTCCTAAATACTACGAAAACTATAAAAGGTTAATTTTGCCCCAACAGAGAAAAGCAGCTTCTGTCCACAAGAACCGGGCTGAACAATTTTTCTGGTGTTCTTAAGTCTTACCTGACAGTTTGCTACTCAACAAAATCATGATGCACAAAAAGAACTTATGCTTCTCCTAAGCTTAAGGCAATGTACCTCACTCAAGCCCAGGGTTTCCATAATAGTAGACAGGAGACGTTTGCCTTTCCCTATGTCTGTCCCCTCACCCTACAGGTGACCTAGCAAGTAAAAAGGAGAAGCAGCAAAGTATGGCGGTCATACTTACTTTGGCCACTATTACATTCTGCACACACATAGGACAATAGGCAGTTTCCATCGTTAGGGGAACTTTTAGAGGGGCAGTTCATATTAATACTGTGTGTGTGTGTGTGTGTGTGTTTAATGGGGTATGAAATTCACTGGAAAGAGGACGGAGAGTATCTTCAGTACACATCCTCAAAATAAGACATTTAAGGAAAAACAAAGGTGAAAGTGTCAAAAAATATGGAATGGATTGGGAAAATAAAGAAAAGGTATGTGGAGAGGAAAGAACAAACACAGACCATTTACAAAAGGGAAAATATATTAAGAAAGTAAACATTACCAGGCCTTTTTCCCACCCTGCCTCACAGACCTGAAAAACCCAGCCCTTATTATTAAAAAGATAAGATACAGCTGTGAGGTGGCTACTTTGGTACCTCATCCCTGATAAGTTTAATATCAAAGTCTTTAAGTTGTTTTATTTTTTAAAACAAAGGTTGAAGAACTAACCTTCAAAAGCTATTCTTTCCTCTGGCATTTACCAGCAAACTTTTAATAATCACTTCATAAACATTCTGTAGTTTAAGTATATCCTCAGAAACTTAAAATTTTTAAAAAGGAAGATTTTTATGGATACATTTCCATGCATATTTTCCCCACTTTTCATGGTGAATTTAAAAGGAAAATAAGTAGTAATAACTAAAAATGGCATTCCAGGTTTAAACAACAAATGATGTTTATAGGGGCTAACTTGAGTGTTTTTGGCCTATACCAAATTTGAGGTAAAAAGAATCTATCAAAACTAGTGATAAAAATAATTTCCGAGTCCTATAATTACATAAACTCTTAAAATTCATTTTTCTTTTAAAATAACCAGTTTAAAATGGATTACACATTGGAAGCATGTTTTTTATATAAATTCCAGTACTTCTGACTTTGGTTACATTCGTCAATAACTTGAGTCGAGAAAGAGAAATGATTTATATTTTCACAAATCCATCTATCTGGCCATTTGATTCTCAAAACAATAATTAGATATGAGTAATTTTCAGCTTGTATTATTCTAAAGCTGAACAACAACATGAATTTTTAATTAAAAAAAAAAAAGAAACTAGCCTATGCAGCAATTGCACTGAGGTGGGTAGACGTGTCTGTGAACCACTTAGGAGAACCAAAATGAGAGGAAGCTTCACGTATAGAAATATAAAGGATGAAAAGTTAAAAAAAAAAAAATTAAGACTCACTGTTTAGCAGGAAGAAACTACACAGTTATTTTATCCCCAAAGGAATGCCAGTTCTTAACAAAATAAATAAAATGAAAGATTTACTATGTACTTTTAACCTAAAGATGAAGACCACACATAATAGCAAACAGTTCATGCAACTATGTAAGGAAGAAAGGAAAGCAATATTGCACTGAAAGGGGAACCTTGCAGGACTAATACACCTCTTTCATTGACTCAACGTAACCAGCCATTTCCTGTATGCATTGGCAAACCTGGCCTGCTCTACGTTCCGGCAGGTGGACAATACTTGATCGATGAACCTATGCTCCATTTCCAGGCCCCGGGAGTCTGGAGCTGGGGTCCGCTTCAGGCGTTTGGTTTCCTGGGAATAGCCTTGCTTGCTACAGTCATTCAGCCCGTCCACCTCCATGGCCTGAGACACGTGTGGGCCTGCTGGGATGAGGTGCGAGTCACTCAAAGTCCCCCCAGGGCTGTCTGCAGGTGACAACTGGGTCACGCTGTGAGGAAACCTACCACTTAAGTGATGCTGAAGGTAGAAAACGTGCCGCCTGTGAAGGAGGAGGGGGGAGGAAGAGAACACAGAAAAGAAAACTCAGTATCACGAAGTCAAGCTTTTCAGGGAAAAAAACAAGAATAATAAGTTGATAATTTCAAGACATACAGTACTCAGTTTGCTGTCCCCCTTGGTGACCAGAGTTACCTGGAGCAGGGGGAGGAGCAATTACACTGAAATCTCTGCGTATTTAGACCAGAGTCTTACAAGCCCAGATTACTGGATTGTTTGTGAGAAAGAACCCTACACACGACCCCAAGGGTTTTTTAATACCACTGACTGAGATGATGACAATCACTTGGAATTGTTACTCTTTGTAACTACAATACAAAATGAGAATTCGATCTTAGTCCAATTTCTGCTATAAAAAAACAAAACAGAACCAAAAATTAACTTCACTGATATCCTAAAACAGAAGTGATTCAGGAACAACGGGATTAAATAGCTCATCCAGAAGCTTTCAGTCCATGGCCTCTATCTAGTATTTTCTTTAATAAGAACAGGTATTATCTAAAAACCAACTGAACTTTTCCCGAAATCCATCACTACAGTCTCATTAAATATCTACCTGCAGTAGGGATGTGCTGGGCTCTGAGCAAAAGCATTTAAAAGACACCGCCCTTGTACTTCCTCTAAGGAGCACAGTTCTCCTGCCCTTAGACTCATCTAGAGTTTTTTGTCAAAAATGAAGATCTATGTGCCTAATCTCCAAAAATTTTGACTCAGTGGGGGTGCACATCTACTGTTCACAACTGGTAAACCACATAGATTCTAGGCTGTTCCATCTCATTATTCATATTAGCAACTCTAAGCCCTCGAGAGATAATTCTGTTCATTTTCCCAGCATATTCTGGAGTAGACAGGGAGCATATAATTTACCCATTTTATAGAGGATAAAACTTAAAGGACAGATAAGGTGCCTAAAGGCAGTGACTCAATAGTAGAAAAGTGGCCTGTATAATTACAGGTCATCTCAACTGTCGCTATTCCCCATGCCTCACCCCAAACTTAATCTTTATACAAAGCTTCTGCTCTGTTAATCTAGCTATCTCTTAAACACAAATATAATTCTTAAATTTTCTCAGCCTTGCTACTGATGTACCTAAATATAGAACAGCAATAAAATCTGTTAACACCAAAACAACGTGGAAGTTAAGATCTTCTCTCTAGAAAATGTGGAATAAGAGTGTCTTGTTTTTACGAGAAAAAGAAATTTTTTTATGAAGGTGCCAAAGAGGGGAGATGGTCTTCCATCTTCTAAAGATATGTAGCATGGAAGAGCAGCTGAACACATCTCCTCAAATAGCCTACAACCTAGACTAGACTGGCAAAAGGGGCCAAATCTCAACTTTAAAAATACACAAATATTTAAACTTCCTACCTCCTGCCTGGCACAGGCAAGTCCTTTGTTTACAAAAAGAACCCTCTAGTCTGAAGTAGAATCCGTATTTAGAGATGGAGATGCCTCAAAAAAAGAACCAATCAGGGGGTTCCCACACCTGGACTTCATTCCAACATGACAGTTACTTTGCTGTCAAATGTACTCAGAACTCAGGTTATGAGGTTGCTAATTTCTTTCACTCCTTCCTAATAATCCTGCCCTCCTCCCAAAGCACACTTTAAAAACCAAAAAGTGTCAAGAGCTTATACTTAAGGAAACTTAATTTGCAGACCATCAATAAGCTTAACTATTCTCAAGGTCTAACCAATGGTCTAAACCCGACTCTGCATCAAATTTACCTTTTAAGTTTCTTCATTGTTTTTTAAAGACTAAATGGCAGCGCTCTACCCCAGATATACTATAAATACCAGAATCTCCAGGGAGGGAGTCCAGAAACTTGTTTTCAGTTTGGAAGTAACACAGGCTCTTCTGTTGGGATAGTCAAGCTTGAATACCACCATCCTAAGCATTAGGCAAAGATCTCTGCATGAGGAACCTCATATTGAAGATCATGAGGAAGAAGATATGGTAACATAAACGCCTCTGAATTCAGGCAAAGCTCCACAATCAATTACCATATTTACCTGCGCAGGCAGGCGTAAGACTTAAGACCTTCTACAGCTCTCATAAAGCCAAGCAGTTCCATGCAGAAAAGAGATTTTCCCTCCTCTTACCTGTGACACCAAAGGGTTTCATGTCCTGGGTAGGAATCAATAAGATCAGTGCTGAATTCAACTTCTTCTTCTAGAAGATGGGGAAGATTTATCCTTGCTTCCTCTGTTGAAGCTGCTGCTTCATCTTTTGGAAGAACTAGAGCTGGATCACTTCTCAAAGGGTTTTGCTCCAATACAGAGCCATCTATCACAGTTTGGCTAATCAAAGACTTTAACAGAAACTGGCGGTAGTGAAATCCACTGTGGTCTGAAACATGCATGGATGCCCAGTGTTTAGTAGAAGACAGTTCATCAAGAAGAATCTTGTAGGAAGAAAAAAGGGAAGTGAGAAGAGGAACTGCCAAAGGAATTTCTTTCTCCATTGTTTTGGATTTCTCTTTAATTTGTTCCTTGTATTTTTTGGTAACACTGTTTCTAACAATATTTTGTATACAATGTCCAACACAGTGTTGTCACTCAGTGGAAGCTCAGTAAAGGCTAGTTTTCCCTTTCCCTAATAAAGTAGTAAGAGGTGTGTGTATATACATATATACACATATACACACCCTACAGAATTTAAGGACTTATTTGTCATTCTTTCTCTGGACCTTGATCAATCACATTCTGATGGGCACACACACAGAAAAGCTATTCTAAAATAATGATGAACATTAGGGTGTTTATTTACAAGAATGCTGACGTTGAAGAGAAAATATAAATTCAAAGGTTACTTTGATAAACTTTCTTTAACTTTTAATGAACATTACAATATCTAACTTATTATGTGTTGAACAGCTGACTCAATGTATTATTATTTCTTCACTATAAGTGCCATGAGGGCAGAGACGGTCAGTTTTGGGCTTAGTACAAAAAATATGATGCAAGAGCGCATGATTTTCCTATTCATCTCAAACTCAATTAACATCAATGATAAATGATTTTTTTTAAGTAGATGAGACAAAATTAAGCAGTGAATTAAGTCTTTGTATTATCAATCCTGCAAACTAAGCAACTTCAAATGGAATGATTAAAAAGAAAAGCAGCAGTTACGAAAAAATAAATTATTTGGCAGTATCCTGGACAAGTAGCAAATGCAAATGGATTCTGATCAACAAAAGCTATATTGAGGGCCTACCACATTCCAACAGAGGATTTTCAGACCAGCTACGGAAAAAAGACATATACTTGCCAGCAGTGAATAGTATAGACAGCACAAAGCCCAAGGGCTTCTCCTTTACCTGCTTTTCAAGGGTCCCAGGCAAATGCCTTCTCTTGTACCAAGATCCCCTCCATTTCTCATAGTTCCTCTCTTCCCTAGAAGAAATCTTTCCCTCTCCTGAACCTCCATGGTTCCTGTGTGTTCTACCAGACATTATAGAATTTTCTGTACATCTTTTCATCCCCACTAAATTCTACAAGTTAAGATATTTATTCATTCCTAATTAATGTTTCCATCATTCTATACCCAATGGCATCAGAGTGAACATATAAGTATTTTATGAATGAATCCATGAGTGAAATGAACAATTTAATGAATTAAGTGACTAGTACATAGGGACAAGATTACTCCCAGCAAAGACAGTCGATTTATATCAGTGAAATGCTTTAAATATCTCCTTTAAATTCTAATGACTTTATTCAAAGCCAAATAGGTTTGTTCCAGAGCTGGTGAATCTCTGAGAAATGGAAAACAAGACTGTTCATTTGATTAAACTGGTGAGCAAAATAGCACCAGATAAACTTCTACCTTAGAAAAATATATACTAACCTTAAGGTTATTACACTTTGAAGAATTAACCTGCAGGACATTTAAGCAATAATACATCAGCTTTTTAATTTTGGTAGGGCTTCTTAATATGGACTGGAAAGAGTACAAAACATGTTTAAAAGGAATTTACATAACAGGAAAAACCTTTAGATTATTTCTTACTGCATATTTCTATACATAAAATTTTTTAATTATTTTAATTTTGAGACAAAAATAGCACATATGTGAAACATTTTCAACATGAATTTAATTCCTTTAAAAATTTTTCTCGGACTTTTTAAGAGAAAAATTCACTATATTCTTTTCCCTTGATATATTTAATAGGTATACTAAATGAGAAAAGAAACTTTAACAGGAATTTCAGGGTATTTTTTACTAGAATCAAAAGGTATAGAGATATAAACAATGATTTAAAAAAAAAGCAATTACTTTTAAAGTGATCTTAAAGTCACTGCATAAAGATAAGGCTTAAATGTAAGGTACTGACAGGATCAATGACCTGTCTATGACAGAACTTACATACCATTATTCTTTTTCAACACTCCATATAAAAAAATGAATGAGTGAAAAAATAAGTACAAGAGAACTACAGAAGCAGGGATATGACACAGAAGGATTAACAGGTTTAAAATCAAAGACTACTGAAAATGCTCATTCCTTCATTCTTGAAGTTTTATTCTTTCTAATGTACTTTAGAACCAATTTTTGAAGTTGAAAAATAAACTGGTGATTTTCAGTATAATCACAGACTTGTGCCACCATCACTGCTATCTAATTTCTGAACATTTTCATCATCTCCCAAACAACCCCTATTCCTATAAGGAGTATAGGAATACTCCTTATTCGCTCCAGCCTCTGGCACCCACTACTCCATTCGCTCCAGCCTCTGGCACCCACTACTGTGCCCTGCCTATTCTGAATGTCATATAAATGGAATTCTAGAATGTGTGGCATTCTGAATCTGGCTTCTTTCCATCAGCAGGTTTTGAGGGTTCATCCATGTATCAGGACTTCATTTCTTTATGGCTGAATAACATCCCACTGTATGGATGTACCACACTGCATTTATCTACTCCTCAGATATTGGACGTTTGAGTTGTTAGTTTTTGGGGGGGCTATTATGAATTATGCTGTTACAAACATTGCTGTAACGAGTTTTCAATTCTGTGGGGTATATACCTAAAAGTAGAACCACAGGGTCATATGTGGTAATTCCAGGTTTAATTTTTTGAGGAAATGCCAAATCGTTTTCCACAGTGGCTGCATCATTTCACATTCCTACCAGCAATGTTTAAGGGTTCCAGTTTCTCTGCATCCTTGTCAGCACTTTTATTAACTTGTTTTTCATTTCAGCCATCCTACTTGGTATGAAATGATATCTCACTGTGGTTTTGATTTGCATTTCCCTTATGGCTAATGATTTTGAACATCTTTTCATGTCTTTATTGGCCATCTGTATGTCTTTTTTTGCAGAAATGGCCCTGTGTGCTTTCTCAGGTGACATACCATTATCAACTTTTAATTGGCTAGTAGTAATAAATTCTGTTCAAATGTCTTTCCTCTCACCCTACCCTCACAAATGAGACTCTTTTAAAATTTACTTAAATAAATGTCTACCTAAAACATACAATCACCATAGAAAACAAAACAGAAAATGAAAATGTCATAATTCCACCCTCTAGCACTGTTCACAATTCTTTATTCTTTTTTTTTTTTGACTAGAAAATGAATACATGTTTATTATGGAAAACACAAGCCAATATATCTGTAACAGCACTGTATGTGTGTGTGTATATATATATTAAGCAGCTACAATATGCCAAGCACTGTTCCAAACACTTTAAAATCTCATTCAAAGCTAATAATATATTAAAAATCTATATTAGGATCATCTATTTAGTTTTAAAGATCCTTATCCTGGGGCGCCTGGGTGGCTCAGATGGTTAAGCGTCTGCCTTCGGCTCAGGTCATGATCCCAGAGTCCTGGGATCGAGTCCCGCATCGGGCTCCCTGCTCCTTGGGAGCCTGCTTCTCCCTCTGCCTCTCTCTCTCTCTCTGTCTCTCATGAATAAATAAATAAAATCTTTAAAAAAAAATAAAAAAAAAATAAAAAAAAATAAAGATCCTTATCCTATAGTGAACTTTTTCTTTAAATAATCTTCCAAAATATAATTTTTAGTAGCAAAAAATATTCCAATTTGTGATGAACTGCAATGTAACTAGTCTGTTATTATTGGAGGGTTAGAGTGGTTCTATTATAAAGAGCATTTTCATATATCAAACTTTCATATTTAATATAATAGCCTGTGTTTATTGAACACTTAGTACAAGCACTTCTGACGGCCACTTTACGTGGATTTTCCCATTTAATTCACATCGCTCAATGAGAAAGGATGGTACAGTCAGGATTCAAATTAGGTCTGTCTGACCACTGAGTGGCACCTTTAATTACTACAGCACCATACTATATCTCCCAGTATTTCTTTAGGATGAATTCCTACAGGCAGAACTACTAGATTAGAAAGAACACACCTTTTTTGGTAGAGTCTGATGAATGCTGCCATGCTGTCCTTCAGTAAGATTACACCAATTTCTACAATGCTTGTTTTCATAGCCTTATCAATGCTGGATACGAGTACTTTAAAAAAAATTTTTTTTCGGGGCGCCTGGGTGGCTCAGTCAGTTAAGCATCTGCTTTCGGCTCGGTCATGATCTTG